GGGCCCCGGCCCTTGTGTCTAGCTTCCGCCGTGCCTTCGGTGACGTCGCGCCGGACTGTTTTGAACAGAACAGAACAGCTCCTGGGCGGCGGACCGCGTCTGGCTACCGGCTACCTGCACCTGCACGTACGTGCGGCGCTCCATCCAGATGACTTGAGCGAGGGTGACGCCGACCACGGCATGTCATTGTCGGCCCAATTATCTTAAGTTCCCATCTCTCCTCCGTTCCGTGCCAAAGCGCCGGCTCCTAGGTTACGAGCAAGTGTCAGGTTCTCAGCGGAGATAATCCCTGGGTTTCTTAAATCTTTGGAGCATCGGTTTGGTTCGCTCCATCACATCGGAAGCTTCTGCATTCCTTTGTAGATATAATGTGGCTTCCCAAACAAGAGTCTTCTGTCTCTGTCAGTGAGGCACGGCGCAGCTTTTGCTATGCATCAGTTTGACTGCAATCGGATCACATAATCACCATGTTCGCTGGTGGGTTTCTAGATTGATAAGCCCGGCTAATGTTAATTTATTGTAAGAGAAAAATATTGTTAATAATCACATACTTTGCTCCGAAGGTAGCGATGACTCAAGACTCAGGAAATGTTTCGGGCTAAAAAAAATGTCGACGTGTTACGTGTGCACGACCGCGACCTGCTCACTGTCTGCACTCCTTTCGGCTCCATTATCTAATTCTGCTACGCTTGCGATTGCAGGCCTTCAGACAGTCTGTTTCGTATCGCCAATTACAGGTGCTTAGAGGCTGGCTTTTCTAAGTATTAAAGGTAACACTAGCTAGTACTTATTATTTTGTGAGTGCTGCAGCTTCTTGTCAAAAAAAACATTGTAGGCTCGATCATTGGAGGGTATGTCTGAGGTATGATTAGTACGTACTGGGAGCCGTCAAAACTCGAAAGCGTGCGTCCACTTTCTCTAGGCTATTACAGAAAAGCATGCCTTGAGTCTTCAGGATCAGACCGGCTTGCCGCACACACATTATCACCTCGGAACGTGCTCATCCTTTTGGAAATCCACACATTTATCCGATGGAGTTCAGACGGTGGTAGAGTAATAGATAGCGCTACAGTGGTGTGAAGTGCAGGAATTCAGAACCAGCACAGTGTTGGTCCCAAGTGTATGCTCAAATTCAGAAGCAGCACAGTCACGTTGTCGACGCCAAGACGTAAATTTCGGGGGTGTTTGGATTCGGTGACTAAAATTTAGGAGGTGTCATATGAGAGTGTCGCATGGGGTGTTTGAATACTACTAAAAAAATAAATTACAGAATTCGCCAGTACTCCATGATACGAATTTATTAAGACTAATTAATCCGGTATTAGCACACGTTACTGTAGCACTACATTGTCAAATTATGGACTAATTAGGCTTAAAAGATTCATCTCGTAAATTAGTCGCAAGCTGTGTAATTAATTTCGTAATTAGTCTATATTTAATACTCCATGCATGTGTCAAACATCCGATGGGACAACGACTAAAATTTAGAAGAAGAAACCAAACACTCCCTTAGAGAGCGCTTAGTTTCCTCGTCGTTAATATCAGTCTTGACTGTCACTAATATGCTTTTATGTCGTAGTGTGAGTCATAATCAATTGCCCATACCACTCCCACTCCATCAACTGGGTTGATTAACAAACAGCAACCCGTTGCAAAAAGTATGTTCAGACGTTCTCTTAGACATGACCAAGGCATATTTTTCCCATGAAAATGTGGCCACCTTTCCTTGTCTAGTCCATGGCTAGCTAGGTGTAAGAAAGCAGTTGCCACTCATGGCAATATGTTGTCTTCTCTATAGTAACGTCGTCTAGCTATTTCCTTTTCCAAACAATGGAGATGGGTGAGGTGTCATGGCCGCGCGCGGACTGTCAGTGGTTGAGAACCTAGTCCAGGATAAACCTGTGGAATTTCCAATTTCTTTCAAAAAGATCCAGGAGCGAAAAAAAAATGGGAAAAAAGAAAGAGATTGGATCTCAGTCTATGGCTCTATACATGCGTGCGTGTCTGTATGCCTCTCCGAGAATGAGGGATCACCATATTTCTGCTTGTGCGCTGAGAGCGAGAACTCTGAAAACAACCGATGAAATTCTCACAAACGAAGAAGCCAAATGCGATCTCTATCGTGGACAGATTCCCAGACGTACGAGCGAGGAAGAGATTCTGCTCAAATCAGTAGAGATGATATACAGTTCAGCAGTGCAGGAATTGAGGAAGGAAGTCCGCAAAGGAACGAAGCACGTTGCATTCAGACGACGAGGTAGGCAGGAAGCGGCCATGGGAGCGACAGAGACAGCACCGGAGCAGGAGCCCAAGCATCCAAGCGCCGATCCGGGCCGCTAGGTCGTGATCCAACGGTCGAGGTGTTCAGGAAGCATGTGCTGGCCGGTGGGATTGGTGGTGCCGCGACACGAGTGGGGGTGTAAGGCAAAAAAAATCGAGTGTGATTCCCGGGAAAAAACGTGCTGACGACGTCGCACGTTTGCCATGGCTACCAGCAGTCCAGCCTACCATCGAGAACGCCGGAGCGGAGCGGATCGGCTGCGCTGCGGCAGTGGCGTCACTGTTGACTGCTCGGCACCGCCGTCCGAAGAAAGTCTCACGGAAAACCGCGCGCGTTCTAAGGATGGCATCGTCGCCGGAGAAGACGGTGGGTGGTGCTCAAGTTTAATCCAAGATTCGAAGCCTTTCACCAGCTCGTTTGATATAATCCGATGCATAAAAGCTTTTTAATTTCTCGATTGATCAAATTAAGCCATCATATCAAAGGCTTGATTGTTCGGATCCTTACATATATATATGTACACACTGGATCAAAATAAAACTTACATAGAAGCTGCGAAGACCCACGGCGGTCTAGCTAGTAGTCAAGAACGCCGGTACCAGTGCCCTAGGAGGTCGCGTATCAAGCTATCGGTCGAGGAGAAACGAACGCGAAGCCAGGGTCAGCGCCGCCTCGGCCCCGGCCCGCGGCGCGCGCGATCACCGTATCAGAGCCCGACGGACACCGGGCCCCTCGGCGACGCGGCGGACGACGACGACGCGGCCTTCTTCCAGGACGCGGTGCGCAGCATCTGGCGCATGCCCTCGGCGACGCGGCCCGCGGGCCCGCCGCGGCCCTTGAGCGTCCGGCAGATGGCCATGTGCGCGCGCACGGCCTCCTCCACGTCGGGCGCCGCGGCGCCGGCTCCCCGGGCGCACTTGCCGGCCTCGTACTTGACGGCCTCCGAGCACAGGCCGCACAGCCACCTGCCCCCGAAGTAGGCCCGCACGCCGCCGATGTACTCGCCCGTACACTCCTCCTCCAGGCCGCAGCACTCGCAGCTTACCGCCTCCACCTCCATGGCCACAGGGCCACGTATGGCTTATCGATGTTCTTGCTTGCGAGGTGCGAGGATCAAAGATATTCGAGAACTGAAGATCGAATCGGCAGCAAATTAATTAGAAGTCGCTCGATCGAGATGTTCTTGCTTGCGAAGAGGAGCTATGCGCTGTGGTGCTTCTCCGCTTGGGCTGGCCACCTTGACGTGTTTATAAGGTGTTGGCCTCCCTGGGGAAGGAGAAGAGAAGGGAGGAGGGCGGCTCTGCTACAATGCCTGACGCCGACGCTTGCATAGCACCTCTCTCTGTCCGGCGACCGGCGCAATTAACCGCGTATTGTTTTCGCCGGAAAAGGACGGCAAATTTTTTTTGGCACATGGAAGGCGCCATCAGGTGATGAGATTGAGATGCATGGCTGGCTATTTACTCACTCGCAACTATTCTCACGTTCTCACGTAGCTTAAGGGGCGCGTTTAGTTCCCAAAATTTTTTGGGTTTGGATACTGTTTAACTATTGTAGCATTTTCGTTTGAATTTGATAATTAGTGTCTAATTATGAATTAATTAGGTTTGAAAGTTTCGTCTCGTGATTTCTTATCCAACTGTATAATTAGTTTTTTTTTTCCTCTACATTTAGTACTCTGTGCCGCAATATTCGATGTGATATTTTGGGGTGAAAATTTTTGAAATCTATACAGAGCATAAGTACTACTACTGTACGTAGCAGATGAGAGTCGTACGCACAGGACAGGCTGCCAGATCGTGTGCCCTCGCCAACAGGGAACAGAGAAACACCCGGCCAGACTGTTTCGTATAGGAGTAGTAGGAGTACCTGCTGCTGCTAGTCGTATTTAGCCATTTAGGTCCAACACTGTTGGGTTCTGACCAGAGAGACTAGAGACTACTTTTTAAGTCTCTTTTAATCAAATAGGAGGGACTACTAAACAATGTTTTCTGATCGTCCGATTAATCACGATTAATTGTGATTAATCATCCTTATCGGTACTTAGCACTTGATTAGGCCCTCTGATTCGATCAGAGCGATCAGAAACCTGATCATCCAATTAATCGTTGATTACTCGCGATTAATCGTCCGATTATGTCTCTTTGCCGATCAACACTAAATAGGCATATGAGCTACTTCAGTTTACAGGGCTACATTTATTTGGGCCAGGCCCATTAAGGTTTCTCTTATATACCTCACCCTCACTCTTTCTCTCATCAGTACTTAGTACTCCTCACTCCCGCTGTGTGTGCAGCTGAGCTCCATCTCTTCCCTGCTGCGTGCATCTCACTCCCTCCTCCCTCCTCGTAATTGGAGTGTTTTTCCCCATGTAAGTACCGCTGCTTGTTCGAAGTAAAATCAATTATGTATTTGCGATATTGCTTGCAAACCAATGAGTTGTTCATTATTTTTTATGCAGTTCCACACCAAAAAGAGGAACAGATTAGAGCACAAGAGGTTAAATAAATTGGTCTATGTCAGTTACAACAAAAAGATGTAAAACAGGTTTCAAAAAATCAGAGAGCTTGGTTGCAAAGGACAGAAGAGCAACCCTCTCACGCTAGATGAATTTCAGTGGGATAATGAATAGGTGGATAAGAATTGTGAGGAATCGACTTAGGCTGCTGTTGATGAAGCTATTGATGCATCTGAGAATCTATAGGGCCGCAACTTGCCTATGGCTGCTGCTGCTCGTGCAGCAGCCTCTGTCAGCCAGATGTATACCAGGAAGCGTCCAAGGACTGCTGCAGCAGCTGCTCCAGATAGCATTGATGATGAAGATGATGACCATGAAGCACAAGTTCAGCCAGATGCATCTAATGCTGAAGTAGGAATGGAGGTGGATGGAGACTCGGGTGGAGATGGAGGAGGAGGCTTCAATTTGGATGATGATTTGCTTATTTAGATTTAGATGGCTGCTGAATGCTAATTGAATGGCAGCTAGTGTTATCTTAAAAACTCTAAATGTTGTTTGCAGTGTTTAATTATTTAGTTTGTAGTATGTACTCAGTACTCGTACTATATTAAGTAAGCTGTGGACTATGCTAGTTTTCTTAATTCCTATTTTTCTGGATCTGGATTGAGTATGTGCTGCTGTAATGCTGTCAGTTTGTCACACTATTCTTTTGCATCTACTTACTCAAGTTATCTATTATTCTTGCAAAAAATCAGCAAACATATGGAGGCTGGGACAAGAATATGGAGTCAGATCTCATAGGTAAGTAACCAACTAACTAGAAATATGCTCGATGTCTACTATATAAATATATAGTATATGGTATATTATATATATACCATACATATATGATATATACTTATATAGTCCTGCTATACGTTGGACGATTAGACCGATCAGAGGTCGATTAATCGTCCTGATCGTCGATCAATCGTTCTGATCATCCTAATCGGTACCAGACTGATTAGGAACGATAAGCCGATCAGGAAACATTGCTACTAAAGGAATTTTTAGTCTCTAGTCCACTAGTTCTTTGGGAGAGGCTTTTTAAGACTAATGGATCAACTTTACAGCTCTTATCCCGCCCTCTCTCTCTTCCCTCACCTCTGTCCAAAGGAAGAAGAATGATATTTTAGTTTTTGTTCAGCCTTTTAGTCCCTAAAACAAAACTATTATTTAGTCCCTCTTTTAGTCTCTAATCTCTGGTCCCTGCAACCAAACATGGCCTTAGTTTTTTATCGCGTCATTAAGATTCATCGTCCACGCAAGCATGGTTATTGTACATGATGGCACTTTGTCAAAGCCGACCTCTAGCTAATAACTTTTGGTCAAACAGTCAAAGTATGACGGAATTATTTGGTCGCTGCCCTTGTTCTCAGGAAAAGGGCCGGTCCAGCTTCTGGGTGCTGAAATGTTCTCCCATGCATGCCCTTGCTTGCTTGCTTGTCCAAAAGGGCATTTGGCGGTGGAATCTAGCTCATCAAACGTTCTACAAACTTTTGAAAAAGTTTGGCCGACATATGTTCAATTGGAATTGATCAAGCATGCATGCATGCAAATTAAAAGTCTGCTGCAGCAGCAATGAAGCATCATCGCCGGCCGGCTATACGCCTGCTGTGCTGAGCTATCAGTATGTACTTCAGTAGTATGGCCTACAAATGCTATACCGTGTAGCTGGCAATGGCTCCTAGCGCTGCAAGGGAGGACAGCAGCACAGACAGCCCATGGAACATGGATCAGATCAGGTCGTCACGACTCAGGGCTCGTAGATGCGGCTAAGGTCCGATGCCCTGAACCGGCCGGGCACGACGATGAGCATCGGACCGGCCGGCCGGCCGGCGATGGCGAGATGCGGCCACGGGCACCATTTGTCGTCTGACACTTGGCAGCTGATGATGCTATAGTATAGACAGACACAGTGCTGGTTGGTCGCAACAGTTCACCAAACCCCCTTTTATCCTTGTACTGTTGTTGTATTGTACACGACCTCCACCGTGCCCCTGTCTTCCCGTATAGGCCGGGCTAGTTGCTCGATTCAGTGTATCGGTCTAGAGACAGAAGAGAGTTATATATCGAGATAGGATCGATGGACTCATCACTCGTCTCACCGAACCCGCGACATGATCCTGCAGTGGGCGATGTCCACTCCACTCTCCAGTGACACTGTGGGCAGCAATCGATATTCTACGAGAGGAAGAGGAGGAGAGAGACACCGTATCGGCTTCGCGTCGGATGTATATCGATCAGGTGACTTTTTTTAGATAATGATATCGATCAGGTGACATGGCGTTACATCCATATCCATGGACGTGGTGCTCATACGCTTAGCCCATCCTTGAAGCTAGCTAGCGACCGGCATCATCGCCCCTAGCGTCGTCGCCTCGTCGGGTCGGGTCCCGTCGCCGATCGGGGACACGGGCAAGTCCAGGTGCCGGAGGGTCACTCACTCACTGTGACAGCTGACAGATGCTTGGCCGAGCGGCTGCAAGAGAGCCCCCGCACCACCCGAACGGTCGTGCCTGTCTCGTGCATTCTCTCGTCTCACGTACTACGCCCGGTAATTGGCAGCATCTGCAGCTGTTGATGATCTTCGCCTGTCTCTGGCACGTCACCGGCGCACAGTGGCCCTGGCTGGACGTGACCAGCCGACAGAACTCTGCGATGAGCCGAGGCTGCCTAGTACACGCAGCGCGCCAACAACTTGTCCCTTGTCCCGTGCCTCACTCCCTCGTCGTGAAAGCACCTGACACCTGACCGGCAGACATGGATCGCCGTGGCCCGTGGGAAACGCCTTCCCCAGTGGATATCTCGTGTCCTGTTGTCACGTACTCGCGTCCTATGATCTGTCGGCTTGCACTGCACAGTGCAGAAACTTGTGTGCTGTGTCTACCTGTAAATGCTCCGTTCCAAATTATAGTTCGTTTGAATTATTTTTTTTGTTGACTTCAAGTTTGATCACTCGTTTTATTCAAAAAAAAATGTAAATATAGTCAAATTTAAGTCATTCTTGAAGAAATTTTGTTAATAAAGCAAGCCACAACAAAAGAAGTGATATTTTGATATAATTTTTTGAATAAGACGAGTGGTCAAACTTAGGGTAAAAAAAAAAAAAGTCAAACAAACTATAATTTAGAACGGATTTAGTATATCGGTTCGGATAGGTTTTAGTTAGGATGTAAGATTGCGGTGACAACAATATAACACCGACTTTTATCTGCAAAAGTTATATTCAGGTCATCGTGACCATCTTCTCCGAAGTTCTGCAACTGAAAACATTGCAACAAATCTTATCAAAATAAATTCTAAGTGTGGATTTCGTACTCAAAATACGCAGGACACGGTCTTGCCACCCAGGCGAGGTTATCTTCTTCATCTAGACTCAGCTTCCCATGCTCTCACCCTTTGCATGGCAATCACTGTCCAGTTAGATCTTCCATGCTAGCTGCAACCTGGGAGCATTTTGATCTCCTTCATGTAAACTGTTCTTGATTTTATTAATACATCGCTAGTTATTTAAAAAAAAGAAACTCATGGCAACACATGAGATAATTAACCATGTCGAAACGCAAATGCAATTTTCCATATATAGAAATTTAAACTAAAGGTTCAACGTAGATTAAAAATTCAAGTCTTCCATTACATGCTAGTCAGTCACATAGCCCAACAGAAAGGCCACTGTCTGTTAGCTGCACTAATCTTCTTCCTGGTCCTGGCCTCCTGGGAAGGCTAGCTAGAAGGCGGCCACCACCTTTTCTTTTTGTTCTCAAAACCGGCAACTCTTCGGCAACAGATAATAACGAAATCAAACACTCAACAAACATGATAACAAAAATACTTGATAGTTAAGCCTAGCTGCTTGTATCTTACTTTCCTGTTTTGACTATTCACTGTCTAAGTGTTTTCGGGTGGCTTAGCACCCAAGTTTGGTATCTGCTTTATGCAACAGAATATGCTAGAGTATGTAAGAGTAGGAAAAGCCACTTTGCTATATAAGCAGTGACAAACCATTTTGTATTCCAAGTCTTGCAATTTCAGTTTCAATCAAGCGGCCTAGTGGCCAAGCTGCCCTCTGGACTTATCCCAAATCTGAGATCCATTTTGTGTATGTCTGGGCAACAATACTAAATGGTGCTATCTAATACCCCGTTCTGGATATACGGACTTGTAGTGCACCTCAGTCCAAAAACTCAATAATATAACTGCAACAGAAAGACTTTAGATAGCCAAAGCATGCTCACTTCTGCCCATCAACAAAAACAACCATGCAGAAATATGTCCAAGAAAAAAAGCTTTACTAAGGCATACAATACTCAATTTTGATGTGAGGGCAGCCAGCTAAGTTTCACTGTTAAGTCCGTAAAATATCTGTTGAATCTAGTATACAAACTCGATAACAATCAATTTAGAAAATAAGCACTAACTCTTCTGGATTTCTCAACAATAGGAAGCTCTGCATGATGTCAGAATGAAAATCTTTACACCGTAAAATATGATATGTAACATGTATCTCTGAATGATGTCAGAATGAAAATCTTTACACCGTACTGCAAAACTTGAGTTTCATATCATATCGTATATTTAGTAGCCAGCTACAAAATAAGTTATTCCGTAGCCACCTCCATTTGCGATAATTTTATATACTAATTTACGATAATGTCAATACATATTTACGATAGTTGGGTTACTATAACACATGGAGATATTTACCATAACGTTACAGTAAATCACTTAGTATGGAGTTACTATAATCTCGTAAATTAACATAGTAATTATCGTAACTCAAATTGGCTACATAATAAGTTATTTTGTAGCCAGCTACAGGGCAGTAGTTCTATATATATATATATATATATATATATATATATATATACACACACACACACAATCAAAAGGGACCAGTAGCACACTACGATCCCAGTCCCAGAAAAATATACAAGACAGACGGACTCCTTTGAAAAGTTTGTTGTCCGATGAAAGAAATTCTAATATACTCCTAGTTCTCATACTAGGCACCAGCCATGCAGTGCAATTCTGACAATGTCCGGCCAATCAGCTTGCAAACACATAACAGAAACAGCATGCTAGCAGAAGAAACTAAATTGTAAAAGATACTTGAAACAACAGGAACGTTGGACAGAAGGATCAACCAATTACATGAGCAGCAACTGTGACATCATCAATAGTTTAATCTTAGTTGTTGACTGTGGCTTCATTGAAATGCATGTGCATATAGAAGTTCATATATGGCTGAAACAAAACTAGTCTTTTCGAAAATACTAATCAGCTTCAGCACTTGTTGCCAAACAAATCTGTGATAGAAGTGTAGTAAAATTGATTTGACAGCGCTTGAAACTGTTTAAGATACCACACAAAACAAATAGATACCGTGAGGTGGCATCACGCGAAAGCCCCACAAGCCCGGCCCTGGGGCAGGGCGAGCGGTGCAGGCG